GGCGGCCCGCGGCCCCGCCGGCAGCGCGGAGGGTGCGCGCCGGCCCCGCACGGCGCATCCCCGCCCGGCGCGGGCAGCCGGGGGAGCTGGGCGCGGCCGCGGCGGTCCCGCGGGGCTGCGGGCAGGGAAGCGGCGCTGCCTCTCCCCGGGGCATTTCTGCGACGTTTCACCCCCCACCCTCCCCCCAAATCTGACTTGGGAGGGGTAAGAGCATCGCCACGCTCTTCCAAAATCTTGCGCCGTCTCCTTTCAGTAAGGCGCCGGGACCTTACTGCCCTGCAGGTAGCAACAGCACCCTCGCTGGGATGGGCACTGACAACTCTCAGCCCTCTGCCAGGGACTCACCTGCTCGGCGGGCTGCATGGAGCCCGTCTCTCAGATTTAATTGCCACCTCACTTTTCAACAGCCATGCAAAACTCATTTCTAAAGAAGTTTCTCCCCATCCCCAGTAACCCTTAGTTGGGTTATGGCCAGCCCTAACATCCTCCACTATTGTCCATATCCAGGTTTACATTTCTATGGCTAAAGAAGCAGCAGTTTGGTCTCTGTTACAGAAAGCTCAAGCTGTTGCAGGATAATGTTTCTTTGCATGTTTCTACTGCAGTCAAACTGTGGTGCAGCATAAAGACTGACCCAAGGGCTATGAAGATGGTGAAGGGCCTTGAGGGGAGGCCATATGAGGAGCAGCTGAGGTTATTTGGTCTGTTCAGCCTGGAGGAGACTGAGGGGAGACCTCATTGCAGCTACAACTTCCTCCTGAGGGGAAGAGGAGGGGCAGGCACTGATCTCTTCTCTGTGGTGACCAGTGACAGGCCTGAAGCTGTCAGGGGAGGTTTAGGTTGGATATTAGAAAAGGTTCTTCACCCAGAGGATGGTTGAGTATTGGAACAGGCTTCCCAGGGAAGTGGTCACAGCACCAAGGCTTACAGAGTTGCAGGAGCATTTGGGCAATGCTCTCAGGCACATGGTGGGATTCTTGGGGTTGTCCTGTGCCAGGAGTTGGACTTCAATGATCCTTGTGGGTCCCTTCCAATTCAGGACATTCTATGATTCTAAGTCCTAAGTGCTAGGAGCAAGACAGAGCTTAACACATTTGTCAGCTTCTTGTAGCTCCTGAAGTTCCTGCAGTCCCATTTCCAAGTGTTGGGCTGCACACAGATGGAGGAGGGAAGCATTCCATTACCTGGCTTAATCAGGTGCCCAGATTTGAGAATAAAGATGAAAAGGGGGTGAGGAAGCCACGCCCATGTAGCAAGCTTTGTGAAACGTGAATGGGTCACTCCAGAAGTAGAATGAATTTCAAAATGAAACATTCCAGAAAAGAAGGGATAAAATATCAGTGTCATTTGAAGAATTTGCTATACATGTGTGTTGAGAATACAAACACTCAGCATAGGGACCTGTTATGTAAGACATTCAATATAATACTGAAATAAACCTTAAGGTTTCCTCTAGTCCTTTAGGATCAGGTCTGCCTCAGACAACCATGACCAATGTTTATCCCACATTGTTTTGAACTCCTGAATTGATTTTGCTGTTTGTTATAAGGCCAAATTGTTTACTTAACCATGAAATTCTCTTATTAAGCAAATTCATACTGGTGCAAATTGTACATCTCTACCTCAGTGAACACGGAAAACAATTAATTAATCACCATTTGCATAAATGCATATTACAAAGCTCTAAAGACTGTTACCAGGAAGACTGGTACATTCACTCTCAAACCCTTTATTTTTCAGACTAAACTCTCTTGCAGTCTTCTTTCTTTTTGTTGCCTTTTTTTTAGGATTCTCCAATTATTCTAGAGGTGATACCTACATCAACACCAAGCTATATACACCACAGATCTTCACTGTCTTCCATGGCATTTGGAATTTTTCACATCACCCCCATATTGCTGATCCACCTTCGGTTTGAGGGCTGGAAAAACATCCAGCTTGAGCACAGCTGTTACAGGAGCATTCCCAAGTTTTGGTATTTGAATTTAATTTGCCCAAGTGCAGCCTTTTGTACTTACTTTGACTTAACTATACCTTGTTGATGTCTTAAATTATAATAATAAAAATTATATTGTAAAATGACTCCCACTTAAACAGTTTCTTGGTGTTCAAGAAAGACTGCAAGTGGCACTTAGTGCTCTGGTTTATTTGAGAAGGTGGTGATCAGTCAAAGGTTGTACTTGATGACCTCAGAGGTCTTTTTCAACCTAATTGATTCCGTGGTTCTGTAAACTCATGTCACCTGTAGGTGTTTTAGGTTTATTCTGCTTTTCATCACCCACATTATACTTGTAAACACTGCACAGCACTGGCTCAAACCTCCCCTTAGAAGATCTTTTAGCTTTGAAAGCTAAAAGAAACGGTGATTACTATTGCATGAATGTAGCTCTTCAGTCAGTTGTGTATCCACCTCAGAGGAACTTCAATCAAAACATATTTAATTTATGAAAACTGTAACAACATGCAGATACACACTGTCATGTTGTCTGACTCCTATCTATCAGCACAACTGGAAGTTAGGCTGGTGTTACAGAGATGAAGTTTCCTTTCAGCCTTTAACTACTGTAGCAGCTGAGGCTACAACCAGGAGAGAATGTAGATATTAGAAAGTCTAATACCATTATTTGGAAGTCCAGAACTCCTGCTGCTGTGTTTCTTTTAATGACAGCTGCTTGCTTCAATGAAGCACTTTAGGAAGTCCCTCTCCTGTTTTTCAAAGCCTGTAATTGCCCATCAGAGTGCAGCAAGGGATTCTTTAATTTTTTACTTTTTTCTTTTTTAAAGATTACACCAGCATTATGAAACTCTGCTCACAGCTGCCTCTTGAATTCTCAGGATTACTGTTTTGAAACATAACCATGCATACAGTCAGCAGTTCTAAGTTTACTCTTAATCATAACTTCCATTCTACATCTGTGCAATTTTATAAACAAATTACAGAACGTTTGTTTTCATTATCACAATATTAAAATAACTGATAGTTGAATGCACCCATCTTTGTGCCTAGTCAAGCCTTTGCATGCTTCCAATGCAGACCTGCAAATCATTTTCAGAGGTGTGTGCGGGGAAGATTCATGTCACAGAATATTAAAAATCCTGACAAATTCCACCCCCTTGCTCAGCTCTCAGGACGGTTCAAAGATATAAGGAGAGGCAAAGAAGATGGTTATGAAAAAGTGCCACTGCAGGGAACAGTATTAAAAATACTCCTTCAACATGTTAAAATAAACTTACGCCTAACACATGGAAAAACAATAATTCAGCTGAAAAGAGCCCGTCAAGAAAGTGAAAAGTAAGTTTTTGTAGCTGTGTTCAATTTTTAGGCTTATTGAGAAAGATAGCTGCAAGTTGGAGGGAACTAGAAAAGAGAAATCACCTTCAAGTTTCCATTCAGGGGATGAACCCAATGCCATGTAGCTGGAAGACCTAACTTAACCTCTGTGCCTAGAAACAGCAGAAGAGGATCGGTGCTCTAAAATTCATCCTTAAGCAACTTCCTAAGTGAAGAAACTCTTTAAGAAAGTAGGAATTTGAAGTGGTAGTCCCACTATCTGCTAGAAAGAACTCTCCTTCTTCATTACACCTACACTGCTGTCCATCAGTCCGCACATCTGCCCCCAAAGCACCAGCTGGAACCGACACACCTGACAAATGCAGTATAACCAACAGGATCCTAACTGACCAAAAAAAGTCTAAGTTTCTCTTGAGAACCTCCTCATGTCTCTTGAACCTGCTCAGCAAAAATTAGGAGCAGAAACGCATAGAGACCGTGGGTTTGTGTGCTGGTAAGAGAAAAGCACAAGTCAGAAAACCCAAGTAAAAACCAAACTGTTCAAACTTTCCAGAAATGATACCTCCAAAACCTTTTGCATCTACAGAGGGGTCCTTTTAAGCAGATGACATCTATGGCATGTTCTATCCACAGACTGAGCCTAACCACCTTAAGACCAGAAGAGCAGTGGAAGAGTGAACAGTACACCAGAAAAAAAGGGTAGAATGTAAGTGCATGTAAGATAAATGTAACTGTATTATTACCACTATAGGGATTTTTTTTTTTCTCTGTGTAGAAGTATTCTTTTCCTGTAACAATTAGATCTGGACTAATAATGACTTTGGGACTAGACTGTAAAGATTTTGGTTATTCAACTGAATATTCAATTGTTCAGTTTACAATACAGTAAGGTTTGGCTTTATTAAAAAGTGTTTCCTCTTTTTTCATGAACAAGGCTGAGTGCAACACTGGTACTTAATTAACAGCTTTTTCAGTGATCAACCTGTTTGTCATTTAGGCCCATTCCTCCTTGCCAACCAGTGCATTTAATATGGACCCCTTCTATGGTAAAACCATTTATATTCCATTTAAATGTTTTTTCTTCTAGGCAACAGCAATTCAATTCCTTTGGCCTTTGAGAGTCACACTAGCAAACTAATTCATTCAGCTTAGGTTCCTTTTATATTCAAATTTTTTCAAATTTCTATTTTATGTTTTTTCTTGTAGAAAAAGACACCTCAACTCCTCTGGCCTTTCTTGATAGAAGTGAAAAAATTCCACATTCTTCTTGAATTGTTGTGGTCAGATGGGGGTATTTAAGGCTGTAGCCTTTCAGGGCTGAGTGACACAAATTTTATTGCTTTTTATTGTTTACAGAAAATACTCTAGCTGATTATTCTGTTTGTTAGTTTTTTCTGCCATACTGTTGCCCAGCAATCACTTCCCCATCCTGTGCCTGTTCTCAGCACTGAGCTCCATGTTTATATCCACACCCACTTCTCCCACTCCCCTCCCATTTATAAAGATCATTTTGAATTCCAGTCCTGCCCTTGTACATCTTCGGGTCATCTGCAGAATTAATAAACTCACTTTACATCTCTTCATTCAAATAGAGAACAATTCCAGATGATCTGCTGGAGACAGGGTACAACAAAAGGCTTGTCATCAACTTCATTTCCACTTGTGTGGGATCAAACCGTGATCAACAGTGAAGTTACACACCATAAAATGGAGCAAGTCAACCATGAAAAATAATTTATTGCACTAATTATCAGCAGTCAGTAACCTTAGTTTTATGTTCAGAGATAAAAGATTACAAGCATGTCTTATATGGGCAAATGTCTTGTGAGCTGTTCTTTTAACAGTCTCAGCCAAAACCATCAACACGAGTTCCAAGTGACAACTCTCATGTACAAGCTAAATATGACAAGCCACCACCTTCTCTTTCCATCTCAGACAGGACACAGCTACTTTGTCTCGCACAAGAAGCATTCACCAGATGAATAAAGGCACCAGGTGCTGTACCATGAGACACCTAAAGCATCCCAGTCACTACCAGTATTCCAGCATCACCTGTAGTTCTGGTCCCAGACACTTCTTGTATGTTCAAAGGCATCCAAAACAAGCACTTGGTGTTACCTCTGACATTTACATTTTGTCATTAAAATCAACATTAGTGCTTCTCCAACTGGATCCTCTAACATCTTCTTTTCCTCTTGGGGAGAGATACTTCTGAAATGAAATAGAGAGAGGTTGTTTATTTTTTAAAGCTTTTCAATCTGTCTTTCCTCGTGTGAATTGTTCAAATAGAATTCATTTTATCTAGTAGTGGAAATTAATTAGATGAGCTCTTGAGATCCCCCCCCAATTCCTCTACCAATGTTTTTTTAAATATATAAAAAAATCTTTCTAGATTCTACAGCAAACTATCATTCAAAATATCAATTAAAATTCCATTGATGAATACTGTACTTCAAAACTTATTCAGTCTTGAGAGCTCTCTGCTCCTCATGAACCCACTTTAAGACTTTGCTATGAAGTTGACAGATGGAATACTCACAAAAATTAAGCACAAAATATCTGAAGAGACTGCTTATGGGTATTTTTAATGCTTTAGAATTTACTGGAAAATTCTGAGAAATGCAGGATGTCCCTGATTTAGAAAGAAATTTTTTGTCCACAACAAGTGGACAAGTGAAGGAAAAGTAAATAAAGTACAATATTAAAAGCACCACTAAGTCTTCAATCTGATCATTTAAAACTGAATGAATTCTGACAACTAAAAGTGATTAGTCTAGAACTAAAAGTGATCAGAAAATGTAAACTCCCTTCAGCACTACAAGATGCTCTTTTGAATTTAGAAAGAGCAAATATAAACATGCTACCTCACCACAAATGTATTTTAATAGTTATTATGCTCGCTTGTATGAAATATCCTTCCATTACATACAATTTTGGATAGTAAATTAACTCAAAAAGATACACTCCTCATGCTCATCTATGTCATTAAAGCTTTCCAGAAGTTGTATTTAACCCTTTACTCCCCCTTTTTAAGTAACCTAATTAAATCCTCCTCTTTCAGGTTAAGAACCAGTACCTCTGGTCTACCAGGTCTGCCTTCCACTGTGTAAGCAAGACCCATCAGCCTTAGAGTGGCTAGGACTGCCAGTGGAAATCTTGCCTTTAGCTGGCCAGCTCCTCCCCCAGGAACATTTCCTGTGTTTGAGACACGGCAGCCAAGCAGTTCCCTGGGCTCTTCCCTGAGCACAGCTAAATAAGGTACCTCTGGATAAAGAGGGTGCAATTTTCTTTGCACTGTGCCTGTTCCATGGTGCTTAAGTTCTCCTCAAGCAACAGAGAACAGACCCTGAAGCTTCTGAGTTGCAGAGCAGTCCAAGATCATCAAGCACCTCAATCTGATGCTTCTGTAGAGCAACTCCAGCTTTGAGCAATTTGCTTTATCACTGCTTCCAAATTAAAATTACATTATTTCCAGCAACCTGAGTCATCCACTCCTCCGCTGCAGTTGTGAGTCCTCCCTCAACGATGTCAGACAACTTCAGTACAGCAGAGGATGCTATTACTGTACATGTGTACTGGAACTCAATCCCTGAAACATGGTCCAGCTGAAACTAAGGCTAGAGGGGAATCCTCTATGTCCCCTCAACGAAAGTGAAGGCAGCAAGGGCTGTTCTTACCTCATCTTACCTCCCAGACCTTCTAGAACAAGCATCTTCTGTAAGTGGGTGAATGACCAAAAAAAAAAAAAAATCACTTTTCCCTACACAAGGGAACTCTCCAAGCTGGACTTGTATTACAGAAGAGTGAGATTTCTTTTAACTGGACCAATTTTAACTCTGAACACACTACAACAAAATAGTGCTGAAAGACATGACTCTGTATTTTGCCACGGTGTGCTCTTAAGAGAGCTCCAAATCAAAGTTTTAATTTCCTTACAACAACTAACAGGCTGAAAACTAATCTTCGCCTTTTCAAGGCAACAAGGCATGATCTGAAATATCAGCTTCAGTTTCAGAAAAATACAGCAGAGAGCTATTAAAAAACAAGCCACTAGTTTGTCAGAATTCCAGTTATTGTACCTTCTTCATCTGAGTTCTCCTCTATGATTACTGGCATCCCAACGTGCTGAGTAACAGTTTCCTCTGCCACTTCCATTTCACCTGCAGACAGATTTTGAGGAAAAAACTTTTTGTCAGCTTTTTTTTTTTTTTTTGCTTCTACATCCCTGGTCCAGCAGCTGAAAGACTGTTCACTTGCTGCTCTCTTCACATCCTAGTCAGATGCTGTAGAGAAACCTACATTTCACAGTACCTTCAGAATGGCTCACTAAAGAAATCTCCAATAACAAGTGATTAACACTACCAATTTAAAACAAATTAATCAGCAACTCAGTCCAGTGTGATAATTCAAAGTGCCCTTATTCCTTCTCAACACTTCATCTACCCTTTTAAAGTCGAGTAAAAACATTGCCTAATGCTCATCTCTGAAGAGGGGTTAATTTTGTCAGTAACCTTTTTTCTAGCAGAAGCAAGTCAGAAAACAGAGCTTGGAACTTTGAAATTAGATTCCTGTCTTCAAAATAAAGCTAATTCAAAACTATTTCGCTGTTTTATTCCACTTAACAAATAACGAGTAAACAAAAATCTTAGATGGCAAAGCAACTTCTATAATTTTAAAAGCTGGATATCAGAAAGACAATTCCCTCAGGAAAAGTAATTTCCCATGTGTTCCACTGACCCACAGCTGCCTCTGCTAGCACAACAATGGACAAAATTTTGCAGTCTCTCCAGGTTCATGGATGCAATGGAGAAATACCTCTGACTTCTGGAGAATCTCCTCTCCTTGCTGGCTGTGGTCTCCTACTGGTTTTTCTACTTCGGCTCGGAGACTTCCCCGATTCAGAAGATTCCAACCTCACTTGACGGTGTCTTCTGGATTTGGAAGCCTAGAACCCAAACATATGAATGACACAAAGATACAGATATTGCTGTATGTCACTTAAAAACCAGCAAGGACCAAAGCACCAACTTCCACGTGAGGGTGGAGAAGGGATAGAAGGGGAGAGAAAGAGGGAGGGAGGATTCTCACTAGTTGCTGTTCTTCAGTTTTAATAGGGCAAGGCCCTTTTTTGATTTAATGGGTGTATAACTTAAAATGCAGATAATTAAACACTCATTAATTCCCAAACCATCCTCTGTTACTAACAAACTGCACTAGGTCACTGCTGCACCATAAAGCCTCTTTACCATCATATTTTACTTAGATGCCTACAAAACACTATCACTATTCATTAAAGTCTGGACTGCTGTTCAATCCAGAGCTCTGTTTCATTTAATAACACATTTTTCAATATGAGATTTTAATAAACAGAGGAAGTTGCAATGTTTCTCCTAGGCCTGCTAAAAAATGCCAAATAAATAATTTATTTTAAAGTAGGAGTTATTCAAACAGTGTTTCCAAGAACTTGCAACTGACTTTAAACTCCCAAGTTCCATTTTCACAAGCACCTTCTGAGATTCCAGTATCTAAGATCCAAGGAATCTGAGCAATTAAACCCACAAGTATTTTTATTCCATCTCCTTAAAATTCCATCTACTTAAACAGCGCATAGACATTAAAAGATATCTTGTAAATGAAAATCCCCCAAGCACAGGCCTTATCTGCACTCTTCCATAAACCTAACAAGAATAATAAGAGCCTCGAGTTTCCCCAGTGTGTCAGGAAAACTAGAACATTCAAAGGCTGAATTACAGAGTGCAATTTTAACTCGTTCCTTTCTGACCCAGCATTTACATTAAAGTGGTACTTAAAACTGTCCTATAAAAATAAATACATCCCTATCATCAAATTTCATACCTACCTCAGCAACTGCAGAGTAAGACCTGTATTTGATTCTGGCCAGGGCACTTGCTCTTTCAGAACCCTGCAAAGAAACAATAGCCCGGTCACCAAAGATTTTCTTATTCTCTCATGGCAGTACTGAAATGCAATATCACATCAGGCAATCACTTGAGCAATATCTCACTACAGCTGTAACTCTAGAATTAGTTTTACATAATTACAATGCTGCTAAACTGTTACTTAAAGAAAAAAAAAAGTTCAAATTCCATTAAAAAGGTGGAGCATAATTTTTGTTGCCTTCACTGTTACAAAGCCTAGGAGGAGAAAATCAAATTTGAAACTTCACATCTTAATCAAATTCAAAGTGGAAATAAGCAGACAAGTACAACATGAGACAATTTTGTAGCATAAAAAAAATGAATATTGCAAATCTGGTTGAAATTCCAGGAGGAAGCATTAAGGAGTTTGGCCCAGAAAATACAGCTCTTTTCCTTCCCTACCTGAGAGAGACTTTTTATTACGAGCATTTAAGAGCTATGGTAGCAATAAATGCTCACAGCTCATCAGAAAACATTGTGATTTAAAATCAAAACCAAACAAGCAAACAAGAAAAACCAACCAGCCCCACCAGCTGTCCTTAGAACTTACTATGACACTATCAAGCCTTGACCTTCACTGTTTAGACAGTGATCTGAAGTCAAAAAATGAACAGATTCAGCCTGTACAACACAGCAAACTAGTTGAGCTTTCTTACCTCTGATTGCAGCAAAGTCTCATCTTTCTTTTTATTTTCTGTTTCATCAGTTTCTTTAGCATTTAGGAATAATTTCTGGATGGGAAAAAAAGTATTTTTCTTTAAACATCTGTCATATACAAGACAGCTAAAATACAAGAACTGTAAAAACCAAAACAATTATTTACACACATGCACGTTTTCTTCATCAATCTTACACTGTGGCCTTTCTTTAATCCAAGAATAAGTGTTACAGAGGTATTTAATGAGGTCAGTCTAACACTGCCCATGAGTCACACCTTCAGGGATTCCCTCTCAGCAATGGTTATGGTACCACAGAGGCAGCACCATGTACAAGTCCTTTCCTCCACACCATACCTCTGCCTCAGGTTTTACACATTCCACGTCTCCAGTGTTAAGTTCCTTCTACTTCAGTCTGAGATTTACAAGTTCAGAGGTAATCACACCAAGAAAGCCAGTTCTGACATGTTCACATAACCTGCTAAGCTGCCACAGCACAATAGCTGATATCACCCACCATTCTGTTCTGCTGCCATTCCTGATGTTCCAAGGTTATGTCTTTAAGAGTGACTACAAAGTCATCTTTTATCAAGCTCAGGGCCTTGTCTGGCTGGGATTTGTCAGCTGAAATGGCGCACTTCATTTTCTGATAGTGGTCATGAATATTCATCAGTTCCTAAAACAAATTCCAAAAAGGGTCTTTTCGAGGAAAAAAAAAATTATTCCAGCAATAAGGCAATATCAGTCCTCAATGTACAAAACCAGGGCTACACAAACCATTCTAATTGAACCAGGAAGAGTGATAGAAACAGATTCTGTTTAGATCAGTTGAGTTTTAGGGAGCCAAGCAATCCTGCTACCTAGCACTGACCCATCAAATAAGCAAAAGAAGAAAGAGTATTTTGCATTATTTAAACTAAGAAGGTTACTCAGGATCAGTATTCACAGAGGTTTCATTCTGATATGATGGTTTATTTTCATCTCTTCGGAGAAAGCATTTTACTTCACACACAGATTTTTGTAACACTGTATTCAACCTTCCTGATGATACACATTTGCCAGCAATTCAAGAACCTTTACCTGGCTTGAATTACTGCATTTTTAATAAAATGTATTATATATTAAACAAAACCAAGTTTTGAAAAGGAGAAATGAAGGTTAGAGAAGTCTATGAACTTGCAGGATAAGTAAATTCATATTACCACAAGTATCAAGACTCCAACTGAAACCTGCAGACATATCAAACCAAACATGCTTCCCCCCCATTTTCCATTTTTCTTTAAGTGACAATTAACCATTTATACCCTTCCCCTCCTACACCTTACCAAGGCAAACCCACAAAACATTAGAGCATATTTCAGTATTGAAAGAAGGTACCACAATTCTGCCAAACTAAATGCCACGTTTCTGAGTGTTCAGTAAAATTACAGGCTATTACCCTAGTCTGCATTCCATAAGAGACTTAAAAAGGACAAGACTGTGCTGATCAGAGAAGTTACAGCTCTTGGACAGCAGAAGAAGAAAAACAAAAGAAACCCCCGTGGTTAATCTGTAGTTTAAAAGTTACTGTACCTCCAATACATCATTAGTGATGAGGCTGTTTACTCTGTTACTTGGGTCCTTAAACTCTTCTTTAAATTCATTTTCCTCAATCTTCTTCTTAGTTCTGTAGTTCAGCTAAAGCAAGAGACAATGTTTGTAACCTAAAAGCAAACTTAAAATGGCACCTCCTCTTCAGAATTCCTACTGCATATCCAACAGTCAGGAGATGCTGAAAGGCATAAAACCATCTCGACAGCAACAGCACAGAGCTTTGCTGTCACAGTGCTCAGAGTCAGCACTTCTCACAAATTATTCCCTAGACAAGAACTGAAGTGCTGTTGAACTGTTAGCCACTGAAAGATAAGCATATTTTATTTTAAAATGTAAGTCTTTAATGTAGTAACTCACTAGCTTTGGCATTGCTGTGAAATGGAATGCTCTGGCAAGTCGCAGTTTCCTGAAGATATATGCTGCATCATAATGCTGGGAGTCTATCAGATCCTGCTGAAATTTCTGGATTTCAGGCCAGTCCTTGAGGGCAATTCTGATCTGCATATTTCAACAAACAAAAATTAATTCAGCTGGCTACTGCGATCACATTCTACTACAGACAATACATGGATGTGTAGGGTGTAGCATGTCACATGACTACAGAACTACAAAGGATCCTATAACTTTTGTTATTACTATCAACATTTTATGCAGTGAGCTCATTATGCTGTTGGGTTAAATCTTCTCACTACAGCTTTCTTTGACAGTGAAGTGGAACACAAGTCCTTTCTGACATTTGAAAACATTAATTCTTCACATTCTGAAGAGTGTGAAATAGTTTGCACCAAGGAGACTCCATTCACTAGTGATCAGGAAACTACTTGTACCATGATGTGCTGCCACTGAAATGCTCACAAAAATATCATTCCTTTATTTTTTTCCTTTCTCTCCTGTCTCATCTACTCTGTCACCTCATCTTCTCTCTACCCAAGTTAACTTCCCTGATAACTCATGTACTCTCTTACAGTTGCTCTATAAGCAGTGGCTTTAAAATTGCCTAAATTTGTTTCTATAAAAGGCAGTAATTTCTCTGAGCTCAAGATATGAGACATCATGGCATCATTGTAGACTACTCCAAATGCAGTTTGTTATTTAAAGAATTTGGACTCCCCTGTGCATATGCACACAACACACATCACACAGTTCCCAAGTAAACCACTTCTTGCACCGAGTTTCCAACTCCTTTAGACACTGGTCTCTGATCCTAAAGGTAGCCAGGAGGCAGGTCATTCAGGCATGCACCCTCCCAGCCTATTTATGAATTTCACTTCTGGTTAATGGGAACTGGAAATAATTCAGCCACTATTCATTCTGTTGGAATTCTAAAGACTAACTGAGGGTATAATGTAGCTCACCCTACAGCTGATGAGCACATTGTCTGTCCCTGCCTTTTCCAATGGGACCATCTGGTTCGAAGTACTTTTATTTTAAGAAAATGAGAGGAAATGCCCTAAACATTTATGATGACAGAGTAGACAGCAGTATACCACACATCTTACATCTGGTATCTGCTGAGAATAAAACCTCAAGAACAATTACCTTCTGTTTTGGCTGACAAAGCTGGGTATTATAGAGCCCATACAAAAGGTACAGAGCACCGACTCGGATCTGGAAGGCATATGGGGGCAAGAAGTACTGCTGGGCCAGTTCTAAAGTCTTCTTTGTGAGCTTGTTCCTCTCCAAGGCTCTCATTCTGCCACTAAAGCAAACAAACAAACAAACAAAAAAGCAGTATGTTAAAGCAACTAAATATAAAACTGCAGGCTTTACAAAATCCATAATGCAGAAACAAGCCTTAGGTATTTTAATTGTATAGAATCATTGAATGTTCTGAGTTGAGAGGGACCCATAAGGATCATCGAGTCCAACTCCTGCCCCTGCACGGGACATCCCCAAGATCACAATATGGGCATATGGTCAAAGGGCCCAAGTTCTGGGGAGCCTTCAAGGACAGCCAAACCTTAAGCTTTCACATACTAAATTCTATGTATTAAATTATGCTCAAAGCAAAAAATGCAATGTCCTGCAGTCACGTTTTTTAACTTCATGAGAATTGCATCCAGCTCCCGGAGGAGTCAGCTCTCACATCACACGCATTACTAATGCATGAAACAGATTGAACTAATAATTGTTTTCCACTATTACACAGGGACCGACGCACCTCTGCCATTCACTCAGACCCCAGGCAGGCAAACCTCT